ACAAACTAGATTGCAGCATCACTGCAATCTAATGGCTAGATAGGAAAAAGGATTTTCCTTGATATTTGGAAGCACATAAAAATACCCTTGGAAATTGTAGGTCAGCATCGAATAGCAGGTCTCAGCCATTGTCTTGGCATGGGAAAATAGGTAGGAACGGATAAGTTCTCAGAAAGAGAAAAAGAATGAGACATCAGAATGGCATCAGATGTCGCATCCCATCATGTTAGTAACCGCATCAGTCATCTGACTCTCAGGGACCGTGGTGTAAAGAAGCCAACCAGGGTCCTGAGGGCAAAGAGGAGCAGCGGCCTCTGTGAACACCAAAGCCAAGTCACTTGGAGTGAACGTGCCCATTCTGCTCTCTAATTCTGCTCTGAGTTACAAAGTCCCACCAAATCTGTCACTTCCTTCCCATCCATATTAATAAAACTGAACTCATTTGAATAGGATTCAAAGTGATTTGATTCAACTGCATGGAGTTTTACTCTGTGGGATTCGTCTTTGATTGAAATCTATTAAGTTCAGTTCAGTAAAATACATTTAACTGTTACGAAGTCAAATTAATTTTTAATCAATTAACATTTCAGTTCAGGTTCATTTTCGTCTGAACTTCGCTTCTACATTTCCAAATTTGGCCCTTATTCAAATCAATAAAATATATCAAAATCCAACAGAATTCTGAAAGACACAACCTGGAGCTAATCAAGTCCATTCGTTTCTATTCATCTCTAATCAGATGAGCTAGTGTCATGCTATCTCAGAGAGATAAAATGTTCACCGTTAGCGATCAAATTGAATGTTTATGTCAGAACTTCAAAATTATGAGTTTTTGGCCCGACCATGTATCGTGTTCCTCAGGAGGAACATGAGGAGCTTTCTTGGGGTTCAATTTTTGTTTTGATCTTTATCTGAACATAGAACAAAATAGAATTCAATGGGTGGAAAACAAAAGAGAATGTTAGTGTCCAGCTTCATATATTAATTTACTATCCAGCTTAATACATTGATTTCTCAATTGTAGGTAACTTGAAGTGATAGCTTTTTATGTTGGAATCCAATGTCAAGATGTACAATATATTCTATTTTGTTTTTTTATAGAGTTCTTAAATAACAACATGCAGACATTTTAAAGTCAAGATCATGGTTATAAAACCATAGCAAAAGAAAGAACTGCAACAAATAGACAATTCATTCAGAATTAATTGAAAAAATGAATGTTGGGAAATTAACTGGAGGTGTTTGCTGTGGTGCCCTCTTGATATTATCTTACCTTATAAACAAGGTTCAAGGTTGATAGCCAAGGAGACTCAGAGACACTTGAGCCCGTTTCTTTCTGTGTCTAGCGATCTAAACTCATCATGCCCTTCCCCCCCCAGCAGCCCATGTCTACTGAGAAGGGCCAGAAGGATGTTAGTGACCAAGTCTTTCCTTGGAGAGTCTCATTCCCTAGTTCTTACCTGGTATCCTAGTGAATCTGTATCGTTTTCTAGAGTTTCTTAGGTAAGCTTGGAAACTTCTCACCCATGGGCCAAAAAAAAAAGGCAAAGACAAACCCCAGAAATGGTCACTCCATGGCTTCCTCTCCCAGTCTTCACCTTTCAATGAGAATCCTGAGCTGTGGGCTCCACATTCTTAGAAGGGGTTGTGCTGGGGTCAACTCTACATGGAAGAGGCCAGGACTTCTCTACTTGAGCCAGGGAACTTAAGTCTGGTACCTGGTCCTCACTTCTAGTTCCTGGGGGATAGGAGTAGTTGTCACCTTTGGCTTTGGCCACTGGATTTCTTAGACTGCGCATGTGCCCTAGAGGAGGAAAGGAATCCTCCAAATTCCAGCTGCCAGAGCTCTGGAACATGAGAATTTTCCCTCTTTTCCATCCAGCCCAGGGATTGCCCTTCCTGCTCTTTATCTTCCTTCCTCTCTAGGTCATTTGGATTCAAAAGAGAAGTTCTCACGGTTATGAGGTTATGAGGTTGTTCTCAATCCATCTAGAATGATACCAGTTAAATTATCCTTCCTTAGCAAGTAGATTATCATCATCCATAATTGAGATGGGTTGTCGTCAGAGATGACAGCAGTCAGCAAAGGAAGAACGATTTTTAGTGCAATGGTAAGAATGGAAGAGAAGGAGGAATCTGAGACTTTCTAGAGCATGAGTGAGCCACTTTAGAAAGGAGATCCTGTGTGAGATGAAAAATATATACATTATGAAATGTATTATATTATATATTGCATGTATTATGAAGCTGTATATACATTATTTTATATAAAATATTATAATTATATATAATATGTGGCATATATATTTCATGTGCTATGAAATATATATTATATATAAATTGGTTATCTGTGTGTAGATAGGTAGATATTCCATAAGAACATGTTGTAAACCTTGAATGTGTGATACATAATAAAATGTATTTTGCAATGAGGACAGGATGGAGCGGAAGAGCCTGTACTGTAAGAGGTTTGGAGCATACAGAATGGCCAGAACCTGGGCTGGCAGCAAAAGTGCTACCTGCCCACAGAAGGCCTGAATCGCCACAGTGAATAAAACATTTCAGCTGCAAATTGTATCTGTTCGTCTTCCTCTGATAACCGCCCCCTCCTGTGATTCTTGAGAGAATTTTAGATAAAGCTGACAAGTATAGATATTAATAAAACTACCTTTCATCAAGCTGAAAAAGATCCTTCTCAGCTTTCATTTTGGAGACTATAAATCTCCCTGCTGGTATTATTTTGAATATCATATGCAGGTAGATGGCATGGAACTCATTAGGAGTACAGGGAGAATCTTGGTTGAGTTTTAGAGGGTGCATGGATAATTGTTATTTATGCAGCTTGCTAAGTTACTTTGGGTAGCTCAGAGGTTACAAGGAACATTCTGGAAAACACAGGCATGTGCTACGTTTTCCAGAACTTTCTGTACATTTTCCCGGAGCTTCTGAAAACATTTGGTTAAAGGAAAAATAACAGAGATATGCTGGTCTTGGGAATAAAGTAAACTCTTTTCTTCTCACCTTTCCTCCTTAATTATCCAACTCATAATAAACCCTTCACCGTGCTACAATTTGATCTTAAGTGAGTACAAGTACTGATTACCTTTAACTCAATTCATATTTGGCATCATTTTTGTCATTTATTACCTGGGAATATGGGTCATTTTTAACTAATTGTGTTACAGTGATTACACCTCTTCATCTTCTCAGGTTAAAAAACTTCTTGAACTCTGGCATAAGTACATTATTAAAAAATATTTATTGCTTTCAACTATTTCCCCCTCCCCCAGAGCCAATTAACAGGTAAACAATGGTTTATACGGCCAAAAAAAAATCACTTCATTAGTAGAACATAAAAGTGAGGCAATTCTTTGCCCAAAGTAAATTGAGCCATTCTCCTCTTGCTGAATATAAATATATGCTGTCGATCCTTCATTTTTGTGTAGTAATTTAACTGTATTAGTCAATGCTAATAGCACATGAGACAATGTCCTTTTTACCTTGGGGTATGTTTTTCTTATTGCTATTCTTTTGTTTGTGCCAGATGGGGAAAAAGCTAAGTAGTGTTTTGTGCTCTACTTGACTTATTTTCCTAGGAAGGACAACAAAGTAATATGAATTTTGCATCTCCCTAAATAGGAGCTTTCATTAAGTAAAGGGTAATTTGAGGAAAGGGAAGACGCTAGGAAACGCAGCATTCTTGTCAGATCTCTTACACACCCCTCCGGGGCATCACATCATGGAGTCTGATGTGAGTCTACCTCCCCTCCCCTGTGAACCTTATAAGGCTCTGCCCCATGTCAGCAGCACAGAGCCTCCGTCTCAAGCATGGCTTAGAGCAATTGCTGGATGCCCACTACCCAGTTACTTTGACAGCAAGACTTCCTTTCCTAGGCGCAGAGGTGCTGGAAGCATCATCTGGCTTGCTCTCGTTTCCTGCAGCATGTTTCTCGGGGTCTCATTCCGAACGAGAGGCTGATTTCTATCCTGCTTTTACTGACATTGTTCTGGTGTTTACAAGGAGTGTGGAGCCACACACAGCTTGTGTGGTTTGTGCAAATTCTCCGCCACTGACTATAGTGAAGATGTGGCATGGTGTTCGTTTGTTCTAATTGGTCACTGGAAGAATTAGAAGTGGAGCTGAGGTTCTGAAATACCTACTCCTCCCTGGACCACTGAGGTAGAGCTAGCAAAAGGGCTCTCCTGCCAACCCACCCATTATCTCCAATGCTGTGTTTGTCTGGTTTGTCCTTCCTTTCTCCCAAGGGTCTTGCTTGGTATCCCTGTGTGATGCTGATCAGAGAAAGCCCTTGGTATTAGGTCAACCGGACACGAGGCAATTCACAAAGTGGCTAGAGTGATGCGTCTGGTAATGTTTAACACCTTTGGGTCAAGTTCAGCCTTACATGCCTCTTGAGCCTTCTGCGAGGTCAATTTCCCACCATCCACCTTTGTCCTCTTCTCCTATAATCTGGCCAGAAATGGAATCCACAGTGACAGAGGGCTATTGGTCTAGATCTCAGTGTGCTAATTAGTTGTATGCTATGCAGTAATACCCAGCCTCTTGTGTATGTATGCCGGGGGAGGGAGGGGGTAATATGCTGGGAATGAAAAGAATTGTCTAGCCTTTCTGGATTTAAGGTCATCACATACAGAATTAGGAGGTCATATTGAGAAACCATAAACATCCACATTTAGCTCTAATCACCGATGACCTGCCTGGCTCCTGGCTCACTGATAAAGCCACACCAGTCGTGACATCAGTGGCATCTTATAGAACCAGTTCAGGATCTGATGCACCTCCCCTGTAGATTGGCCCGCTTTGCACTTCCAACTTGCTGAATACATCCATCCCATATCTCAGAAGCTTGAATGGCACAGTTTCTTCCAAGGAAAAAAGAACCTGTGTCCCTGGGAAAGCTGAAGCTCACCACTGGGGTGATGTCACCTTGACAGAACCGGGGTCCCTTCCTAAACATGCCTTCCCTTTCCTCTTGCAGATGGAAGTCCTTACACCTGGTGGGTTGGCAAAGCCAATGAGAAGCACTATTACTGGGGAGGGTCAGAGCCCGGAATTCAGAAGTGTGCCTGCGGCATCGAGCGCAACTGCACGGACCCCAAATACTACTGCAACTGCGACGCAGACTACAAGCAGTGGTGAGTGCCAGAGCAGAGCCCAGCTCTTCTACCCCACCCCACCCCCACCCCGCCTCCACGGGGCAAACCAGTGTGACAGAAGGGAAAGCTGAAATCCTAGGGGAGAAAGGTAGAGGTCTCACCCCCGTTGACCAACACCAGGAATAGACTGAAAAACACCAAAGCAGCAAGAAAGGGGTCAGTGCAACAAGGCTATGCGTTTCCAAAGCGGCTGACACATCACTGATGTGTTCATATTTTATTCAGAGAGGAGAATCATGAGCCATGTGGCTGACACTGATTTGCATTATGTAATGTGTCTTGCAATCATGCAAGAAGGGCTGGGGCAGGAAGCATTGTGTCCACTCCTGACAGAGGCCAGAGGGGAAGGAACCCTCTGGAACCTGCTGCCAGCTCCTGTATTGAGCATCAGACCAAGAAGGCAAACAAGAAAGCCAAGGGGGAAATGAGTCTTTGCTCTTGTCTCCAGCAAGTGCTAGCCTGTGTCTTGTCCCTTCTACCTGGAATTGTTTATAACCCTGATACACATCAGTTCAAGAGAGATCTATTTTGGGTTGCTTTCATCCCTCCGCTTGGCTTTTGTGCTGCTTCACAGGGAGCAGCTGAGCCTATGCCAGTCATGGATAAAGATAAAATCAACTGTCATTCTCTGCTGAATTTAAAAAAAGAAAAGGCAGAGCCTGGAAGTTCAGGTGGAAGGATATAAATTAGAAGATCAAGCCAGTCCTGGCTTCCTACAAGTCTAGAAGTGTTGAAAAGTGGTGAGGGGTCAGCAATATTCCTATTAGCAATATTCCTGCAGAGACCCGAGTCCCGAGTCTCACCTGTGTCCAACCACACAGGTGCCCCGCATCCACCTGCCTTGCAGCCATCTGCTGCGGTGATTTCCAAGTGCATGCTACCAGGTAGTTACCTACTAAGTTAATCCTGAGAACAGAGTATGCCTACTTCTACTTATTTTACAAGAGCTTTATTGCTTTCCGTTAGCAAAATGCACTGCAAAGGCTGTTTCGGTGTCTTTGAATCTAGTATGTATGTGTGAAGTTATAAATAGCTCTTTGTATGCTCTGTGGTTTACTGTAAAGGGTACATGTGTGATACTCACGTTTTGATTTTGTTTGAAATATCTGTGCACCCTTGTGTGCATGCGTGCCGTACATATAATCCAGAGCGGAGTGCAAGTTGAGTGGGGAACATTTGCTGGCTTTCAGGATAATCTTTTCCTTCTTTAGTCCCCCATTTCCTTTACACATTTGCCCAGTCTATATTGGGTGAATACTGAGGTGCCAAGCATTGTTCCAGCTCACAAATCAAATGGAGAGAAAATGCACCCACACCTGGCCAGCAAAACACCACCACAGTTACCTGAGGAAGACACGTGTGAAATACCGAAAAGGCTGAGGGGAACAAATTTAAGTATTCACAGAGAGAGGAAAGGGAGAAGCTGAGAAAGTCCTCAGAGGAGGAAGCGTGCTGGAATGAGCAGTAGCAATGACTGGCTGTCCTTCCTGCTGGGACCAGCTTAGGGAAGGCTGAGTGGGCACCGCTAGCACGGGGGCTGTCAGCGCTGGGCCCTTGGGACTGGGCATGGTAGAAAGAGGAGGGCACTGAGGGTCAGGCAGAATAACACGACAACTTCTATTCTTTTCAGAGTGTGTTAGCAGTTTGGAGTTATGGGTAATGCAAGCCCATGTTGGTCACCATAAGGAGGGAAGGAAGAAGAGAGAAGAGGCCACTGCAGTTGTCCTTTGAAGGGGTGCAGGGCTGAGGGACGGGGGCTAGGACCATGCCTACACAGGAGCTGGCTGTGTGGAAGCATCCGGAAGCCTGTCACTTGCGGGAATAAACAGGAAGCCATGGCCCCTTCTGGAAACTGACCCCAATGCCGCCTTTCTGATTGAGAGAAAGAGGAAGCCCGGACCCAATGGCCAGGGTGCTCTTCCGTAATTCCCACTGCTCCTACTCCGTTTTCTGTCACTCCGTAGAGCATTGATGAGAGAGAGTCGGGAAGAGGGAAGGCCAGGGTGGCCACGCAGGGGCAGCCCCCACGGGGAAGACGCTTGTGATGTAAGGGTAGAGATAATGGCTCTAGTGAATCCAGGCCTTCAGAGCCCCCAGAAAGAAAGTGTCCTCTTCCAGTAATCTTACCTCATTCGTGATCCGAATGGACTAAGGCAGCAAAATGGTGACAGTTCTCCCATGACATGCTCTCTCTCCCTTCTCTCTCTCTCTCTCTCTCTCTCTCTCTCTCTCTCTTGCTCACTCTTCACTCACTAGCTTGTTTGCTCTCTGAAACATAATTCAGGACATTTAAATTATTTAAGTTTCCTCAATAGCAAGATAAAGTTAGATAACATCACTCAAATCATGTGAGGGTCTTGGTAAATACACACACACACAAACACACACACACACACACACACATATGCTTAAAATATAGTAGGATATATTTGTTCTTCTTATTATTACTAGTATCATTACTAGAATGCTGGATAGAATCCTATCTAAACCATTACAAAATACTTTAATTAGAAATACATACAGTTAAATTACTTTCCAAAAATTCCATTAGTAATAAGCATAAGAAAGGCATAAAAACCCACATCTCCACATTCCCAGGCCAGGGCTTTAAAACCACAATATCACGAGCAAGAAAGATGACCCCATTATTTCCATCCCTCAAACGATTTGTAAATGTAGTATTTTAGCTACCTGCACATTTGAACTCCGAAGCTTATACCACAGGCCTCATGCTGGATATCCCTTTGTAAAAGAACTCTAACACTTCACTTGAACATTTAGTCTTATTTGCTAGAGTAAATACATAAAAATGGAGCTGGGATAAATGAGATTGTCGCCGAGAGCATGAGCAGGTCTCACAACCAAGCTAAATAGCCTACGAGGGCCATAACCATCCCAATAATTACCTGATTATCTATGCTAAGAGAAGTTTTGCACAGTTATTTCTGAGATTGGATGTAATTTAACATTTATGATTTACTATTCACAGCAATAGTCAATATTCCCACCTACAGTGCCAGAATCCTAATTAAGCGAGCTTTGGTCTCAGTTAATGCCCACTGCTGGGTAATTCCTGGTCCCTCACAGCCTGACTCAATGAGCTAGATCATCATCTCTGAAATTAGCAATTCAGAAATGGAATGATCAGCCAAGGGACGCCACACGTAGCTCCAGTGCCCTTCTCTCATGGTAAAATTTCCACAGAGCTGTGGCTGGGCGGTGATGACACAGAGGTAGAGGGACAGAAGAGAGCTAAAGTCATTAGCTCAGTCACCGGGTGACAAGTGGTCACAAGGCCAGTCAAATGCTAACCAGTTAGGCCCTATTCCAGCATTTCTGCCTGGACCAGAAATAATGAATGACCACTGTACCAATAGTACAGGACAGCTGACCAAAGTATCGCTTCCATGATTCAAAGTGAAAAACTCAGATGGCTTCCTAGCCAACAACTAATTCCTAAATATCTTAAATATTTGAGAAAGCAAACATACATTTTTCACTGCGTACAAAATAAAGAAAGAAAGAAGACCCCATTTAATGTGCTTAGTAACAGTTTCCCACGAAGTTTCCATGAAGGGAAATATTTATATGTGTAGTCTCACTCAGTATCTTGATTGAATAAAACTAGTGCAAACGCTTCGAGGGGTGATTATAAGCGGGCATTGCCTCCAGTGCTTACATGAATCATGCCCCGGGTATCTCACACCAAAACCTTAGGATGGAGAACTATTTTACCACTGTGTTAGCAATGTGAAATTAATCCCAGAGAGGCTAATTTCTCCCGCCAGGACATACAGCTAACAAGTGGTGAAGCAGAGATTCAAACTTGAAGGAAACAATGTTAGAGTCACACTTCGCTATCATACAACATGACAGACGCTGCAAAAAGCTTGTGACGTGGGCACTCCCGTGTTTACTGTGATCTTCACAACTAGCCCAAAATGTGACAGCTTAATCATCAGAATGGCACAGTGCAGTAATACTGAATACACTCATTATGTTGTGTTACCATCACGTCTATACGTCTCCAACTCTTTCAGGTGGCAAAAATGAAACTCCATACCGGTTAAACAACCAATCACTAGTCCCCTCACTCCAGTCCCTGGTGCCCAACATTCTATTTCCTATGTCTGTGATTTGGACTGTTCTAAATACCTCTGAGAGATGGAATTACATTTATCCTTGTATACCTGGCTTCTTCCACCTAGCGTAATGTTTTCAAGGCTCTTCTGTCTAGTTCAGCATATCAGAGCTTTCTAGTTAGGGCTGGATAGTATTGATAGGCTGCGTTTGCCTGTGTGTCCACTGGGCTGTGGACAGTTGAGTTGCTTCTGTGTTTTAGTAACTGCAGGAATGCCAGGCCTGTTCATCATCTATTTTTACACATCTCCACGTTGCTCCTAATTTGTTTGTTTGTCTGTTTTTAAATCTCTAGCTGTTTCGATTACACATTGAAAGCATATTCTTGACCCTAAACAGGTTTGACACATTTCCCAAATATCAACTGGTCTTCCACCCCGATTCCTTGGCTCCATAGCCTTCAGCAAGTTGCAACCACTCTCCTCCATGTTTCCTCCAGCATTGAAATCATTTTAAGAGAATATGAAAGAGAGAGAGGGGTTCAAGGAGAGACACTCATAAGCGAGAAGCCCTGTCCATAGTCCATTAGTAGGTGCTCAGCAAACATCAGTGGTAATTGTCACTGTCCAGAAAGTTCACCTTTCCCAGGTGCACACCGGCCCTCATTCCCTGCCCCCACAGCCTCCCCTTCCTCCAGAGAAACTTGTGGCAACACACACACACACACACACACACACACACACACACACACACACACACACACACACACACACACACACACACACACACACACACACACACACACACACACACACACACACACACACACACACACACACACACACACACCCCGCTGGCCTGATTGCCCTGGGCTGTGATGGCTCCCTGGGAGAGCCTGG